AAGTAACTGCAATGTGTGATGGAGCCCTGTTTTCCTGGAGATGGCTGAATACCTGCCTGCAGTGGGAAGTGGTGAATGAATTCCTTGTTTTGCTCTGCTTGCATGTGCAGCTTTTGCTTTTCCTATTAAACTGTGTTCATCTCAACCCATGTGTTTTCTCATTTTTACCCTTCTGATTCTCTTCTCCATCCCACTGAGGGGGATTGTGCAAGTGGCTGTTCAGGGCTTAGCTGCTGGCTGGGGTTAAACCATGACACCTCCCCAAATAGTCAGGTCACATTAATATGAAAAACAGTAAGCGTTTTCATGGATAATAAAAAGCTGAAGCCATCTAGCTATATGACTATGTCACATATAATGAGAGATAATCAAAAGAACTCTATAGCCCAGCTTGAACATAAATAGTATAGGCTCTATCTCGAGGATTCAGCTGGTTTCTAGACAGCACCCATTTTTTACACGACCGAGTATTACATTCCACCCTTTGCAAGGTATCTAGGAAATGTCATACTGATAGCATCATATATTTTTTCTTCCAAGCATTGTTCAAAAACTCATGATACAAAGTAAAATATAATTCTGAAATATACCCATGCCATAATTGTTTAATTTTTAGTAAAATATTTACTGTCTTCTGGAAAAGTATGACTTTATGTAATCCATGCTGTGAGATGGTGGTTTTAATTTGGTGAAATGAATAATACAGGATGTTAAATCTGAATCAAATCCATCTTCATAGAATTATTTTTTTAAGAGTAATTACTACAACAGTTGCCTTGGTATTTTATCAGTTTGGTAACACATGGAGAATGTGACTTGCAAGAAAACATGAATACCATATTAAGTATTGTAATTGACTAGAAAAAACAATATATTGTTCCACTTGGAAAAAAGCATACAACAATTTCTTACATCATTTTCATGAAGTAAGAGCATAAATTCCTGGTGCATGAAAGTCAAAGTTACACTTACTCAGGTTCTGGGATTCATACCATTGATTCTCAAGTGCACATTCTACAAATAAATGTAGACCAATAAGTAATATTATCCTCTAAAATAAGGAGGGAGCTCTATTTCATTAAAAATTAAAACCAGATGTAAACTGAAGTGAGAACAAAATCAATAGCTCACACCACCAGACGCCTACAAGAAGCTACAGAATATGTAATACACGGATACAGTCAAGAAATGCAACTGTTCTGAAAGGGCGTAACTCACATCCCCAGTGAAACTGGCAGGAAATAAGACACACGTGTTCCATGTACTTAATTCACTGATTATTTTTGTATGAAAGCAAATGCATTGCATTGATACCTAAACAGAAAGCCAAAGACCCATCAACTAGTCCTATGAAAAGGATCTTGTCTCACCCTCTTATACCACTGTAGTCAGCTGGTAAATGCTTGTCAAGAATAGATCCAGGCACTATCCACTGGCTATTCTCAATAGGATCATGCATGAGTCCATTTCCCAGACTGCTCTGACACATTCCCCAATTTTTAGCTCCCAGGACAAGTGGCTGTGCTTTTTGGCATGAATACGACCCGTGTGTTTATATTGGTAGCCTATGCATAAAATATGGACATGAACATTAGGGAAGGGAAAAACTATTTATGGTAAGAACAGCAGTGGCAATAAACAAGACAGGAAACAGATATGGAGTCATTAAATTCCCTTAGATTTACAGCCTCCACAATCCTATAGGGAGGCTTTCCCATAACTGCACAGCTCTAATGGTTGGAACCATTCTACAGACTGAAAGCTTACAACCAAGTAGTCTCGCCTTGAGAGTGTCTTTTCCCTTAAACAGTTTTCCTCCAAAGTGTATTCTTATCATATATTTATAAACAACAATCTTTCCTGCTCTCAGCTACTCTCTTGCAAAATTAAATATACCACATCCTTTTATTACCTACTAAAGGCTCCTCATGCTTCAGTTAGCCTTAATGCCACTTGCCATGAAAGAGGCCTGTTTGAGCTTCTCTTTCGTAAACGTGTGTTGCCAAAATTCTACAAACATATCCAGGGCCTTGAGAATGGCATCGGTGCTTCCTCCTTCTTTTCATTAGGACTACATAAGACACTTCTACAGCCACACACCACTCCTGGCTCAGACACATGAGCCACTGTCATTTTCTTCAGTCTGTAGGAACAATTTTTTATCATTCCCTAAGTGTATGGCTTGCACCTTGTTCCATTAGCCATCATCTCATGTCAACTGTCACTTCCAATCATCTCATTCTTCTTGAATGACATTCCAGCCTCCTCCCAGCTGGTTGCCAGCAAATTTCTGTAGGGTCCTTTTGCTACTCTTCACTTTTACTTTTGAACTCAGATAACTGGGAATGAATTCTCTATTTTGACATTTGTACTGCATACTAGCAGGCTTTGGTGCTTCAAAAGTAAACCTTTTTTTTAGCACTATCCTCCTAAGACTATCTCTGTCCATGAAGCTAAGCACAAATAACAGCCATTTTCAGTGCACTATTATCCATGGAAACATGTTTTTATCCTTAACATAACGATACAAATGTATTCTATAGTCTATTATTGCCCTGATGCATTTAATGTAGTTATCTCCCATTAGTCTATACAAGGGAGTATGCCTCAGAATTTTCCTCCTGCTCAGGAAGACTGCTCAAGTCAGACTGTGGGTAAGGTCCTGCTACAAACATATGTGAAACAGACATATACCAATGCAGTTATTCTGATCAAGTAACTTATTTCCTTCTCAAAGGCAGGAATCTTTTAGTTAATACTCTGATCTGAAAGGGACAGGAAGAGACAGGACACAGGGGGGCAATTTGTCAGAGGAAGATACCCAGCAAAACCCATGCATCTCAATCATCAGCCCCAACCTGTGTCTGCTGAGCTACAACTCGTTATCTACCACAATTCATCTCCCAAGAGGTGTTTCTCTACACTCTGCTTCTTGCGGTGTGAACTTGCTCTTCAGCTTGTGGCAGCTCCACTCTTCTCAGTTTCCTGAGCATCACCACCAGCATACCCCCACCTCACCTTTCAGACTGATGCCTACCTTGGCTTTTCCACTCCCTGATTTTCAATTCAGACCCACTGTGGTGCCTTGATACAAAGCACTGAGCAATGTATTTTCCAAACTGCCACGAATTCCAAATCTTTCTAAGAACCTCTCAAGTGCTACTTGTGGGGGAAGTAGTTTTGTTTCAGTTGGGGAGGGGTGGTGTTGGTTTTGGGGGTTTTTGGTTGGCTTTTTTTTGGGGGGGGCGGGGAGAAGGGAGATTGGGGGGGTATGTTGGTTTTGTTTTGGTTTGGTTTCATTTTGTTCTTTTTAATTCCAGCATCATATTTTACTAGTGCTATGTAGCCATTCATTATGAAAAATAAAGCAACTTCTGAAGGTAAAAACCAATAGTGTCTGTGTTCAACACACTTTCATAACACCAAAATGCATCAACTCTTGCAATTCATTTAGCAATCACATACCCACTACTCATACTGTAACACAGTATTAGGCACATTTTTAAAAACTGATCATTTTAGCTACTATGCTTTGCCCCACAAACAGAAAACCTACTATGGAACAAAAAACTGCTTTTACTTTTACAATATAATTTATAAATAACTTGAAGGTGTTTGAGATCAAGACTTTAAAGAATCACATTAGCTCGAGTTGAAAAAGCAACACCATGGTACATAAAACTCAAATGAGAAGAAAACAATACATACCAATATCATATGCAAGGAAGTCAGCAGAAAAACACTTTGCACCATTACTCAGGGAAGTATCATTGTGAGTGTTTCCACCAAATATTAGCATAGCTCCATTGATTAAGACAGCTGAATGAAGATATCTTGCAAAACCACTCTCCTTTAAAATAGTCCTGGGAAATATAACAAATTAATTCACATTAATATGTGCAAACCTGTATAGATATATCAAGAAAGTTTATGATGAAAATAATATAAAATACAATGAAAACACTAAAGCTATTACTCAGCAAATAAGATGAAATATATTCAAATTGTTTCCAAGATTATGAAGTTCCTCTTGTTACAACAAATACATTTAATACTCATTTAAAATGTCATGCTTTTTTAACCAAAAAAAGCTTGTCAAATAATGCATCTGAAATAGCTCGTATCATGTTTACATTCTTCAGAAGTGATTAATGATATGGCAAATTTAAGTCAAAACTGAATGAAAACATTGTTATATTCTATTCTTACATATTCTTAGCCATACTGTGGTTTTGCTCAAGAATGCAATAAAGAATTCTTTAGAAGGCTAAAAGAATCTTTAGACTATCCCAAGTATTGGAAAAGGAGAAACTCTTTGTGTTTATTAATTAATTAAGCACTCAGACCTGGAAAAGAAATTGGTAGAAGTCATTCTAGGTATGATGAAAAACACTTGTGTTGCTTTTTTTATATACATTTTTTCATGCTGACATATTCAATCACACAGAATTTCAGTCCCAAAAAATAAATAAATTTAAAAAAATAGTCCATGCATGTTGAGTCTTCAACCTCTCTTCACTCATTTTAGGCTGTGATGTGCAGTTTGCTTTGTGCCAGGGCAATAACATGGGCCCAGCAGTAGCCAAGAGCTATCAGCGCTGCAGTTTTACAGTGGCAGGTGGAGGGCTAGTAGAAAGAACAGAATACAAGCTTGCTTCAATCACAGCAAATAAACCTCACCAAAGCACAAAGTAACCACTTGTGGGTTTTGCCAGCTTGGATTACTTAAGCAGATCAGCTGTAGACATGTTTGTGAAGAGCTGATTAGGTCACCAGTACAGAATATTATTCACATTCCCCCAATAATCTTCTGTATTTCCAGAAATCTAACAGTTTCCAAGTTTAGACTCTCACTTTCACTTGTGTTACTGCACACTGCTCACACAATTAAACAGTTTTGTCATTCGTTTCCTGTAACTAACATCCTGACTTGACAATCTCTCCTTCCGATTGAATAATACTGTCCTTCTTGAATCATACCGATACAGCACTTGTTCAATATGTTTACATCTTCATAGGATTTGGAGGAGAGAGGGTTTGAAGTATATTTCATTGTTTTGACGTAATGGTGTAAATCAATCAGTAAACTCAAGATACTTTTTTAAGTGACAGGATATAATATGTTTGAACAAGCTGAGAGGAAAGCATTAAACCTAAATTCTGTCATTTAAATAGATTTCTCCCTACCCCTAGAAAGTAACAGCAAATGAAATACTAAACACTAAATGAAAGTAAATGAGATTTTCTTAGTTGCTTAAAAACGTGCTAATTCCTTCAAGCCACCAACATACCCACCAATGTGCTTCTGGCTTAACCAGTTTTTTGTTGTTGTTAAGCGATTAGCATTTTTGTTGTGTAACTCTGATTAACAGACTTTGAAAACAGAACACCACCTAAGTGTGGTTTTCTAACCAAGAATTAGCTTCATACAGAATACTTATGGTACCTACCCAGAAAAATGTGGTATCTGGTTTTGATTCATCAGTTAGCAGTGTACAAAATTGGAAATTACAAGGAAACAGGACAAGACATTATTTTACTGCAGTTATTTTCAACTAGTAATGGAGCAATACTGCTGCTATGTGTTGAAAGAATGATGATATACTAAGAAGATATTGTCTTTGTCTATTTGGACTATAGATTTCTGTCTTTTTCTTTACCAGTTTTCTACAGCTCCTGCCTCCCAGCTTACATTAACTGCTACACATACACTAGGCTCTGTCTCGATTCTCCCGCCTTACAGCTGTCTACATCACTAAAGACTTAAAGAGCTGTACACTGCTCCAGGCAACAGTAATCCCCACAGTTTTTCTTGGGGCTACTCACTTTTCTACTTGCCACCCAACTGCATTGCCCCAGCCCCGGTCGTCACATTGTACAGGGGGTTTTCTTCCCTAATTTTTGCTCATAGTGTGCTGAGTTTCATCCCTTCTGGTAACAGTAACTTTTCCCCAAGATTCAGCGGAAGTGGAAGCATGATACACACCACGTTTGTTAATTTGGCCATGATATCGCTATCCATCATTCATTTCAGCATCACTGATGAGAGCAATCTCCACAACTCCCCAACACACATCAACTCCTTGCAAATTATGTGAGAGTCTCAGCACACTTTATAGTGAATTCATTATTTATGCACATACACATGTATCTGCAAACATTAGGGCATGTCAACTGTACTGGCACCAGGAGCTGCATACAGCAGCATGGTATTATATGGTAATAGAAATACCCAGGAGCCAGCAGGTGCTTCCACTGTTTCAGGCCATTATCTAAGCTCAGCACCACATTGTCATCCAGTTGCCAACTGCAGCAGTATGCAAGTAATGCAAAGCATTGCAGGTATTACAAACACTGTAATTCTCCCTAGTGTATTAGGAACAACGTTCACAGTTGGAATTAAAATTTCAGCCCCTTATATTCCAAGAAACATTAAGCCTATGCCTAATTGATATGAGAAATGAAAATCCACGTGCCACTGAATAAGTAATCAGCTATGTATACCAAGAATTAGTGAAGCACATGAACCTCAGCCAGATCAGACAGAGAAACAGAGAGTGAGTGTGAGAAAAAACAGACACCATGAGGAAAATCAAACATGAGACTGAAAAGAGTCATGTACATGGCCATGAGAAAAGCCATTCTGGTTCCACCTCTTCCTCATACCTCAACATGCCCAGTGGTGTGTCCAGGCTCAGCTGCCTCACAGAGTGCTTTGAATTCTGATTATAAATTGTCACAGGTACAGCAAACAAAGATTTTTTTTACTACCTAAGTGTCATTATTTCATCCTCTCAACCACAGTATAACTGCCTTCTAGTGTAATATTCATGAAACAAAAGATTTAAGTTCTCTACAAGCTGCAGGTTTTAATATAATGAATAAAAATATTCCAATAATTATTATTATACTGTTGAACAGATCATCAAAAGATACAATATCACTTTGTTCTAAGAATAGACCGTAATAAGAAAGTATTAAAATTCCAGCAATTTAAAAATACATTAACAGGGACAAAAAATTCTTGTAAAAATGTTTCCAAGTGCCATGAGTTAGTGACATTCAAAAATTAAGAGCCTCAGTGAAATCAAACCCCCATTTCCAACATCTGAGAGCAAATCTTATGTACTTAAAGTTAAGCCATTAATTCTCAACACAAGTATTAAATTGCAGGAATAAAATGTTCTGTAGAAATAGTTCTTGACCTCAAATCGTCTCTAAGGTAGGAATAAACTTTTAAGGTCACTTCCTATACATAGCATACAAGTACCATTCATAACCTACAATAATCTTGAGGGACAAGGAACTGACAGAAATAGAAAGCCCAAGAACATTAATAACTAAGGATCCCTATACAATACCAGGAATTTTCTCTCTTATTTCTAACAGTTCCATGAAAAATAACCTTGCACAGTTCTTTGATTTCTCTACTTATTTATACAACAGGTACTTGAATGTGCATCAGCAGCATATTCATGCCATGTGGAAACAGTATGCATTTTCTGCATAGCAGTTATTTCTGGATAGGAAACTTTTCTTACTTTATACAAATATATGTGCAAAACTTCCACCCTGCCATTCCTTCCTTGCATAGCTCCATCAGTTTTCTGGCTAAAGTCTATCAATTCATTAATCTGCTGGCCACAATTCTTCCATTTTGTTGCAGAGAATGTACTACTCTGCAACACGCAAAGGACCTCTGCCCACATGACTTTACTAGAACCTTACTCAATGCTTACATTTTCTTTCTCAGTAACATATAATAGTTTCCTACATTATACATCCCACTTACCATGTCCGAGTATTAACTTCGTATCTGTAAAGATCATCCACCAATCCATATTTATTGCCAGGTAATGCTTTGTATCCACCATGAACATAAACAGATTTTGTCAACTCATCATAGACACTCGTATGGCCATATCCACCTTGCACAATTGCTCCTTTTGTTTCTGGTACGAGCCAAGAATTAGACCCTAGAACAGATGGACAAAAGGTTTTAGGTCTACTATTGCTAACACACAATACTAGGAGTTTTAAGTATATAAAACCATTTTTCAGTATAATTCTAAATACAGCAATAGCTTAATTGAATGAAGACATTAGACTATTATCTGCTATTCTCGATTAAATCAGAAATGCACTGTTGTCACAGGTGCCAAGCAGTATCAAATACTCTCCCCATGTGTGAGTTCAGCACACACACAAAGCCAAAAAAAAAAACCAGAACAAAAAACCAAAACAAACCTTTTGGAAAATAGGAAATTAAGGGTTATGATTAATTCTCTCCCAACCTTAACTTTGTCCCACCAGAATGGGCTGATGAGATTTCAGTGCTCCAGCCACTTCAGCTGCGCTAGGAACACCTGTACTCCATCACGAGGAAATTGTCTGGAGAAGCCTGGCAGAAACTGAACTGCTGTGAACTGTGAGAAGCTCAAAGTACACACACATACAGACGCTTTGCTAGCAAACTGTACAGTTATTGAGCTAAAATCAGTTTCCAACTACCACTTCTTAGTTATTTAACTGCAAATATACCTACTCAGTTGCTGAAAACTCACAGAAGGATAATTTGATAGCAGCTCATTAAACTGGCACTTAAATCCACATTTTACATCACATCATTAATAACTGCAAAGAGACACCAGATAAAACCATTCACAATAGCTGTTATTACTGAAGAATAAAACACAACTGGAAAATATTTTACAATAGCAGTAAGAAAAGAGAGGTTAAGTGATCACTTATTGCCTGTGGCCCTGAGATTTCCAATTTTTTTCTTCTCCATCTTCCCAGCTGATGATATATGTCACAAAAAGAGCAAGCCAGGAGGTATTCCCTGTAGAAGCCAGCCTATTCAGGCAGCCAGATCTATGGATGTGAAATGGAAGAAATCGTTCACTTGCAGCCTCTTGAAGTCAGAAGAATAGAAAGTGTGGACAAGAACTTCTAAATTGAAGCAGTCTCCTAATTCCAACCTATATTAGCTGCCATAATGAAGTTATTTATCCAAGGCTAGCACATACCACCACACACATTGCTTCACCTGAGAGTTCAAATTCCATTTCAATTTTTATCTGATATTACGTAGGTGAAAATTATCTTTTTCCTCTGGATTCTTCTGTTCAGTGAAGAGATTCATGACTTTCAGTCAGATTTTTTCTGTGTATGAACATCGATATTTGTGTAATACATTATTTATATCCAACACATTACATTTATCTTATTTACATGCATTTTATTCCAATCTCTATGTTGGGTATTACAAAGCTATTAAGAACTGCAATTCTGAACACAAACATCAAATTTGTACCAATAATACTGCATTTTACACATAAATTACCTTGCTAGCAGATAGATTTACTTGATACAATTTATCTAAGAGGGTTGGTGAGGAGTTAACCTTCAGATACACCTTTCTATCACCAACACCAGGTTGCACAATGGTGTTGATCAAACGCACCATAGAATATTCTGCATTTCATAGGACCAAAGATTCATGGAATGGTTTGGGTTAGAAGGGATATTAAAGGTCATCATATTAAAGGGATATTAAAGTTCCAATCCCCTGCCACAGGCAGGGACACCTTCACCTAGACCAGGTTGCTCCAAGCCCCGTCCAGCCTGGCCTTGAACACTGCCAGGGATGGGGCATCTGGTTTATGCAGCATTACCATCCACAGTAAAACTGCAGCTTTACATGACTTGCGCAGAAATATGAATAACTGTATCTGCTTGTGTAATAGAAACCATGTGCTATAGATAACTATGTAAATTTGAGCAAAAAGGTCCAGCAATAACTTACTGCAATGAGTCAAAAATGGTATTAAGAGTTTCTCCTTTTCCTATTCTAAAATTTAGTTGAGTTTTGAATACCAAAATGGGCATCTACAGTTTTGACAACTTTCACACTTCTGCGGCATCTTGAATATTGCACCATACAGACAAAAATACAATTCTGTCTGAATTTACAGACATTACTATGCATATGATGTGGGTTTTTTTCTAAACAAGTCATTGATATGGATCATCACCTATCTTTTTTAAACAGAAATCCAATTTTTATTGAAGGTATTTACATAATTCTTCTCATACTCAAAGAGATCCCACTCTTTCTATCATTAGATCGGATGAAGTACTCAATTGACCAAATCAGTCATGCAAAACTGCATCATCAATGGCTTAAAAAGCTAAATACAGAAATACATCAATGAATAAACAAGCCAGAGAGAAGAAAATAGGATTTCTTGTTTATTTCCAGATTTCAATTTGTAATTCTAATAGTGTAAAAATAAGGTCAAATGAATTTTGAAATAAAAACACACAAAAAAGAAAATCATTCCAGTAAGAGGGGCTTCTACTTTTCATTTCTAATCTGACATTTTTCATCAACATCTGGGCAATTTTCCAGAGAATTCTACCACGTAAAGTTTCTCTCACAATGCTTATGCAAGTCACTGTGATAACTTCAGATAATTGCATCTGTCAGATGCTAAAGTGCTGGACATTGCTACAGCCTGCAATATTCTGGTCACCTTTGTCAAACAGAATGATACACCTCATGTCCAGCTTTCCCTTCCAGGAGACCGATCAAGTGAAAGAGAAAAGGCATCTACCAAAACATGTAAAGAGGAAAAGAAATTACAGCTGAGATGATAGAAGCTGAACTCACCAATTTAATGAATTGAAGCTGGGGATATGACTCCATTGCAAACTTTTGACAGACACAGCAAGTGAAAATGCAGGCTCAGTGGCAGGCATTTCAAACAAAGCTGGTTAGATATTACCAACGAATAGCAACCACGGTGCTGACATTAAAGATTAGAGGGAAGAGAGAGGATCTGTACAATTACAGACCTTAATCTCACCTCAGTAACAGGCAAAAGATTAGGACAAAGTTGGGTTGGTTTGTTTTTTTAAAAAGGATAAATAAAAAAAAAAATGTTGAAATAATGGGAAACTCTTTCACTAAACAACATAAATGTACCAAACCATTTACACCACCTTTAACTAAAAACCAGTTTTCTACAGAAGGAAGAGTAGGTGTTCTCAGTATCTGAGCTTTAGTAATATCCTTACTATGGTGTCATATTGGGAAATTGGTAAATAAACCATTATAAAACCTCTGCAGCAAGTCCAGGGGAGGGCCACGAGGATGATAAGAGGACTGGAGCACCTCCCGTATGAAGACAGGCTGAGAAGGTTGGGGCTGTTCAGCCTGGAAAAGAGAAGGCTGCGTGGAGACCTTATAGCAGCCTTCCAGTATCTGAAGGGGGCCTACAAGGATGCTGGGGAGGGACTCTTCATTAGGGACTCTAGTGGTAGGACAAGGGGTAATGGGTTTAAATTTAAACAGGGGAAGTTTAGGTTAGATATAAGGAAGAAGTTCTTCACAGTGAGGGTGGTAAGGCACTGGAATAGGTTGCCCAAGGAAGTTGTGAATGCTCCAACCCTGGAGGTGTTCAAGGCCAGGTTGGACAGAGCCTTGGGCGACACAGTTTAGTGTGTGGTGTCCCTGCTCATGGCAGGGGGTTGGAACTAGATGATCTTAAGGTCCTTTCCAACCCTAACTGTTCTATGATTCTATGATTATAGAATGGGACTTGAGCACTGAAAATGAAGCAGCAACGAACAGTGTTGAGAGGTGCTGGGATTATTAGGGAGATTTCTTAAGTATCAGAATGGGTGCTTTTTATGACATTGTCACAAATTTAATGTGCAATAATTGCAAAAATTTAGACACCATCAGTTCACAGAAGCAGCAGAAAAACGTGCAGAATGAACTGGATGATCTTGGCTACAAGAAAAAAAATTGATTGAAATTCAACAATGACTTAAAGATACTGTGCCCTGGGATTAGCAACTTGAACTTCTATAAAATGGAACCTCATCAGTTGATAATGACTGAGAAGAATGAGTAGGAGCACTGCTTCACCAGGGATAGTCATTAATGACTTTCTCACGGATGCAGTACAAATGTCATTTTACTACCTACCAACTGAGGTGTTCCCAATAAAGTAGGATTAAAGTTTAGTTAGCCAGGCACTGGTGAAATCTCACCTAGAATATCCCAAAGGCTTTATTATTCATCCACATTCAAGAGAGATGAACTCCTTGTGGAAGAGGTACAGAGATGAACTATTAGAATGACAGCAGAATAGATGAGGTTGCCTTAATTAGTCTTGCAAAAGGGAGGACTGGTATCTATAAATATAACTCAACGAGAATTCTAGGAAGGAAGACAAGCTGCTTATATTAAACAATGTATCACCCAGAAAACAAGTGAATATAAACAGGTCATTGATAAAGGTAGTCTATGAATTAGAAGATGCCTAGACACTAAAATTATAACCAATTTTCTAACGGCACTGTGAACAAAATCCAAACTGTATAAGATTAATCCTCATAGATTTTTGAAAGGAATTATGAAATATGGTGTTTACATTTAAAAAGCACTGATTTTGATGGCCAAGGTGATAAATTTCAGTCTTTTGCCCACAGGAAGTTAATCACATCCAAAGATGTAACACTATTCCATCATCAAATAATGAAAGGCAAGAAAACAGAAAGAAACAAAACACTGTTTCTTGCTTTCTTTTTCTCCAATTCATGTCATTGTATGAAACAGGGATGGCCAAATCAAGACAAACTGCAAATTTGAGCAATAATAATTTTTATCATTCAAAACAGAATAATTAAAATAGCATTTTAAGATAAGGTTGTTTCTAAAAAGATGTTTGAAAAACAGTATTTCTTAATATAAAGTAATAAATCCAGTAAGAATCCACGGAAAGTTAGACACATTGGCCTGATCTGTCCTTAAGACAGACTGGGTAAAAAGAATATAGAATCACAGAATGGTTTGGGTTGGAAAGGACCTTCAGATCATCCAGTTCCAACCCTCTGCCACGGGCAGAGACACCTCACACTAGACCATGTTGCCCAAGATTCTGTCCAGCCTGGCCTTGAACACTGCCAGGGATGGAGCATTTACCACTTCTTTGGGCAACCTGTTCCAGTGCTTCAGCACCCTCACAGTAACGAACATCTTCCCTATTTCTAACCTATATACTCTATATCCAAGAAGCACGTAAGTGTGGCATCTTCATTTCATTGCAGTGGCAAACTTAATTTTTTGAGCAACCATGAAGCTTATGATAACTTCAAGACAAAACACATGTTGCATCGTAGGGCCATTTCTTTTAAGGCTATTTCAAAGAAACATTTTTAATCAAAAGCAACCTATAACCTACTTCTAAAGTCATAATAAAATTCAGCCCAGAAGACAAAATGGTATGCTGCTAAACCAAACAGAACTCTTCTTAAAAAAATAACATCACATAGGACTTATTCAGAAGTTCCTTAATATATAAGGAGATTTACAAACCTCACCTAAAACAAAGCATCAGTATTATATTCACCTTGAGAATCACATTGAGATTCTTAGAAGGTTTATGAGGTATTGCTAACCTAAAGGGAAATAAATTTCTCTGGGGAGTAACCCAGAAAAGCTTTATGGTTCAAGTTAGTAAAATCATTCACATAATTCCCATACCAGGATTTATTGATTCCTCAAAAGTCATAAGTCTGGGTATAGCAAGAAAGGACAACAGGAAGCTCTTTTGTTCCTGCAAACCACCACACCTTTGGAGTAGAAATTATTTCCTGTGCTTTTCTATGGTGAAAATCTGCCTGCAAACCATGCCTAATTCTTCTAGAATTTCACCCGGATAGAACTTACTTCCTCCACCGATCAGACAGTGTCAGAGAAATTTTCAGACCCTGCACACATTTGATTCATGTATTTTGTTACCAAGAACTACATAACTGAAAAGCTAAGGAATCCACAAGTAATTAAAACCCCTTTAGAAGTTTCTTGACCTAGACCCCATGGAAATCAGGGTCACAGTAACTGAAGAAAGCTTTAGCACCACCTATAAGGTTCAAAGTTCATTACCAGGACTGGATCACTAGATGTTGCAATTCATATGAACCAAAACCTAAGTCACCTCTTTCTACACCTCTTTCTTTCCATAGGCACCTGGTAAATGCTTGAAAAATAGCCTGCATTAGGACTAGAAGTCATGGCTGATAACATTTTAAAAGAACAAAGCAGTACCATTTGAGATGGCTGGACTTGATGATCTTAAAGGTCTTTTCCAACCTCGTGGATTCTATGATTCTATGAAATGTTAACACAGTCTGCGCTTTAAGAGAAAGCACAAAGAGAAAAAATTGGACTTTAATCTTTCTTTCCATAATGCCCTTCTTTAAAAAATATTCTTTCCTATTCAGGTGGGTTCACAGAAATGCTTTTATCACTTCCTATGTCTTTTAAAGTTTGGATTCTGAGCTGCTGAAGTCCCCCAGAAAAACTAGTCATGCTTAGTTCAAACCACCATCTGGAATTTTATGGTTAAAAATGATCCCACAGCTGCAAAACTGTAGATAAATGTTACAGCTGACACAATTCAGGAAAATTTGCCACAAAATTCATTTAACTTAGAGGGGAGGGAAAGGAAGGAGATGCAACGAGGTAAAATGAAACATGGGAATTAGCCACAGCAGAAATGGTTGTTACAGCATTATAGACCATGTTCTGCAAAGGTTCACATGCACCAATAATCCTTTATCACATCAGTAGACTCACTGAAATCAATGGGTTTCAACAGTAACACCCTCTATTTTTTACGAGTTTACTTTATATTTGATACAAGTGAACCATATTTTCTCTATCAAACTAAATTTCTCACTAGCATGTGATGAAACTATCTCCTCAGAAGGGAGGCATAAAAACAATATAATAATTCAGACCCATAATAATAATTGCCAGAGAAAAAAGTGTTTTCTCCTACTCAAAGCTTATTGCCATGGTATGAAAGGTTTGGGGGGAGGGGTGTTGGTGTTTGTCTTGTTTCTTTTAAATATGCTTACTTATAATCTGTTTAATAATCCTCCACAAACATAGTTTTAACATTTTAAAAGATTAAAGTAAGAACAAGTTATATATATTTCAATAATAAGGCCTGCAATAAAATCTGCCAGAAAGAAAATATTACACTCCAAAGTGAACCGTGTGCTCCTTTTCATAACATAGAATAATACTAGTACTTCTACTCTGGACTAAAGAAGCGGCATGTTAAGAAGCAAATAATTAATTCAAAGTTCAAATAATTCTATTCAGAGTAATAGACATTACAGGAACTGAGGATGCAGAAAAACAGAACAACATTTTTGTCTTCAAGAAAAAAAATTCTGATAGCTTAAAAAAAACTTTGAGAAATTAAGTGTTTGTAAAAACTGCATTTTAATAGTTAAAAAAAAATCATAGAATACTGTCATGAAACATCATTCTAAGACCATAGTTTTATAGTAGTTCAATGTGGTTCAATCAAATTTTGTGGATAAAGCACATAATGGTGCTGCTGCTCTTATTCCCATTCTCTTTCATCCCTTTTTCAACACAGTTCTAAAATTACAACAGTGCCACCAGAGCTAATGCCAGGAAGCACAAGAACCTGCTGAGTTTTGAAGGGATTTCCCCTGCCTGTAAATCTGCTTAAACAGTGTTTATATACATATGTATACAGGCCAAAAAAGTTAAATGGAACAGTTAAAAAATTCTTATGCCTTGACATGTATTTCTTTTAAACTTTGTATTCTGCATTCTGTGATTGCCGAAATAACTGAGGGACTCAGATCAATTCTATAGAAAACAAGGAATCCTAAAAAGTAAGAAAGTGTTATAATTTTAATTAGGAGGCATATAAACATACCTTTAAAAGTACCAGAAGCTATCGAATCTCATGTTTATTCTATGGAAATTATATCTTAGATGTCCTATGTGTCAGAAAAGAATATCTTTGTTTATTTAATTCTAATATTGAAAATCACTCCTAGGAAAAGCTTAGAGTTTGCAAGGGGAATCCCAGACAGCCCTGGCAGGTTATTTACAAAACTTAGTGTTCACTTTCTCTTATTTCCTCTAGAAGCACCATGTATACACTTTAGAGAGAACCCTACAGACAATGAAGTTACTACAATTCAAAAAACCAGAATGAAAGTTTTACGGCACCGTTAACCTTCAAAATAAACAAGAAATTTAAGTAAGCACTTACACTGTATTCTGTTTTGATGTTTCTGATTTTCACTCTACTTATTCTTTTTTACTCTATCTACTCTGTAGTAAAAACTGTAAGTCTGTGGTAAAAAAAGGTAAGTTTTATCACAACAATAACCACAATGTGGAATTTTTGGTTTCAACCTTTACCGTGGCCATGTACATAATAATATATAGCCAAAGCCATTACACTCAAGCATGTATGAAATGCCACTGCTTGACAAGAAATTGATCTACATAATTGGAAAGAAAAAAAAAACCAAAATGAGGTTATAGTTTGCAAAATAAAATTTTAATGTTGAAAACAGCAGTGTTCTTCACTTAGGAAAAAAGTATCAGGAATTTTTTAATCAGTATGTGATAAAATTATCTGAAAGTGACTTACTGATGTAGTATTCTTGCACAATGCTTGTGTAACCATATATGGCAGAATATCCAAAAATTATAATCATAACCACGTCTCTGCTGTCCAGCTCTACTATGTGTGCTGAATGACCTTCCACAGCATATTGCTGGCCATGTACCAGTACTGCAGGAGTTCTGGCACTCCACGTTTGACTGTGTATGTTGAAAATCCACAGCTCATCGGTAACGTTGCCATTATTTGCTTCAATTTTGCCTCCATACATGTAGATGTCTTCCTGTAAAAATTGGAAGGGAGAGAAGAGAAAGCAAATAATGGATTACAGAAAGATAACATCTGAACTACGTATTTCTGTCCTGCATAATATTTCATAACTGAACAATCTGATTTCTATCTTAACGCTTAATCTTACATTGACCAGCTCAGTATCAGACACTAATCCCAGGCAACGATATTTAAACTAAACCAACAATGATGATAAGGAGACTATTTCTCTGAAAAATAAACCTAGACATGAAAATGACACCAAAATGAATCTCAACTGGATTACTTCAAGCAGAAAAACTTTAATTACATGGCTCTTCTAATCCATCCTGCAGCATTCTATTAAAAAGGAAAAAAAATTAAAGCCACTAAACAGAAAGGATATTATATTGTTTTCTTAAGGAACAGTTCACAGAACTAAATGTGATTTTTCATACACAGAGTCCATGGGGATTTCATTCAGCACATGCAGAAGAGAGCACATTCTTTCCTAACAGCAAAGTAACTTAAGTCCTGAGAAAATTCACAGTCATCAGAGCCCAAAGAAAAGGGACAATGTTTATATAGCATCCTCTTGGGCACATTCACTAAAATCAAATCCCATAGGGAAGTACTTTGAGTTCTTTAAAAGGGATGCAAAACAGATTTTCTAGTCTTCATGAACCACATACCTCAAACAGCAATGCCATCTGGTTTGATAAGTCATGAAGGATTTACTTAAATATTGACTGAAAGAAAATCCTACTAAATCTCAGACCTCATCTAGAGTTGCAAACCAAGGCATACGAAGTCACAAAACAAATTCCAGCTTGTTAGTTTCACAGACTGCCTCAAGGACAGTTTATCCTGGGTAGAAAAAATTACCTCTGAGAATAATTAGTCTTTGCTGGGACATATTAGAACACGTCCCATCTGCATGGTGTTTGTACAGTTTGCAGTTGTCTTCTGCATACTACAATGCAATATTCTACCCTGAATTCAGTCTTACCTGGCTTAAAAAACAAAAAGAAACCACCCCAAAAAACCAAAACAAAACAAAAAAGAAGGTGCAGGCTTAGGACATTTGTCAAAGTTTTGCTTGGCATGGAATACTGAGCCTCAGAAAATGAGACTAGGAAATATAGTAAGACATAAGGTAAGATGTCTGGATCAACCATGCAGAAATTTCAGACTTGTACAAGTTGCTGATGGGATCTAAATAGAAATGTAAACTGCATGCTATTATCACCATACATGTCAAGGAAGATGAACTCAAACACAGGCATGTCAAATATCAGTAGCATAACAATCTATTCAGTGCAGCAAAATAAAGGTTTGTGAGGGTTATAATGCCACAAATAACTCCTATGGTTGATGGTAAACCACAGAGTCCAGGACCACATGAAAAACTTCCTCATTACTCAGACTAGGCAGTAAATGACTGACAAAACTGTCTGACCTGTTTTCAAGAGTACACTTGAAATTTCTGCAAGTTTCAACTGTTTTGTTTTGTTTTCATTTGAGGCAGGTAAACATTTCATGATTTGTAATTTCAATCATTTCTATGCAGTGATACTCTTATCTATTACTCTTATCTATTGGACTAGCGGTGTATGAACAAAAGATGTTCACATCCTTCAGTATGAACTTGCAGTAGGATTAGATACTGTGTGTCTGAACACATTCTTTTTCCATGAGACAAAACAACATTTCAAACAGCATGCTGAAGACCCATAAAAGTCGTAAGGAGGCTGTGCCCTGATTCAAAGGCATGGCTCGAACAAGTATCCTTCTTAAAATGATCCTATATGGCTCATCCATTACACGGCCACAGAGATCTCAAAAGGCAAATCAGCATCTCTAAGACATTACATGAAATATTTATTTCTTTATATTTAAATGCAGATAGCAGACTACAGCAGAAAGAGGGAGCTAATTAGGGAGTTGCAGGTGCTGTATAACAGTACCTGAAAAAAAAGATTTGACATTGAGGAAGACACTACACAGAAAAAAAAGGTGACCTAAACAGCTGCATGAACTTTGAAATGATTACTCAGACAGCTGACAGTAAGAAAGTCCTCCTCGTAGTTCTGCTTAAATGATTCGAAGTTCAGATAAAAGAACACTCCTGTGAGAAGCAATCTTTATAAATGACACAGCAGATCCTGTACACAAAACTATTCACAGAGAAAAAGACGAGAAGGTCATGACAACTGCTTTATCAACCACAAAAACAGATTTAAGTAAGCTTCGCTAAGGGCTATTTCTGAGATGAAGCAGCTCCTAGTGCTGCTGAAAAAACACTTTAAAAGTTAGTGATGATCAGCTGAACACAGAGAAAGAAAGGCTCATAGAGCACAGTCAGTAGAAAAAAATACAGACTGACAACAAAACATTACATGCATAGTTATACAGGACAAAACCCAACATCCTAGGCACATAAAGGTGGACATTTATCTGGAAAGCCTAATCAAGAAGAGATTGTAGGAAGGACACAAGTGCAAATGGTCCTAAGCAGCCTAAAGATTTTGGAAAAAAAAGAACAAATCCCATTATAAACTTACACTACCTTTATAACTTACTTAGTTCCTTTGCCCTTGGACAGGCTCTGTTCTCTACATCATATCTCAGTGTTAATACTGATTTAGTACATCATATAAGTGCAGTAATTCAGGATTTTTCTAAAACTTATCATAATTTTATTCTTTAGACTTTGCAATTTTTCATATTTCTTAATAGAACAACACTTATCAACTGCTTTGACTGTACCCAGGAATGTCACCCTGTTATGCAAATCTTGCCTGCATTCCAAAAGAATCTTATCTGGTAGTTACCAAAAAAAAAAAAAAAAAAAAAAAAAGATGTAAAGGAAATGCAATAAGAGGGTAATTTATAATCCATTCCTAATGAATTGGAAGTAAATTAATCATGTTAAAATAACTATGTAATTTTCATTTTGTATTTCTCAACTGAGTTATGGCTATACAGTAGTAAAGTTTCTCCCTCAAACAAGTTCACTGCCCTAATTCTTATTTAAATCTAAGCTGTTCCTGAAAATGTGGCCAAAGAAATGCTATCATAAACCACATGAACAGTCATTCCCAATTTTCTTGACAGAAGACTATCCATCTTTTTGTCTCCCCTAGACTGTACCCATGATTTAGTATATAAATTAATTTTATGTAAATTAACAGGACTCAAAAATCCTGAAGAATTTTTGTTCTCTGATTACCTGAAATTTCTAACAGTTTAGTCAAATCTTTAAGAAACTTCTGGATTATTTTTTTTTCCCCAAGTGAAATATAAGTAAGACTCAAAAAAAAGTCATCTAGCGATAACCTACTCACCACAAGCCTGTTTTCTGCATTCAATGCATGCCACCTCATTTAGGACTGTCTTATACCTCCTCTTCCTTTCCCCATACCATTACCTCCTATAATAGAGTGACAACATCAAGACCATTCTTCTATGTGTTACATCAAAAGAATAAAAATGAATAATCAACTTCTCCACTTGATCCAATAATCCTCCTATTAAATGAGGACAGACAGACTGGAAAGCAATTTTCACTTAACTCCTCCTCTTGCAGCCTGCTTTATTATTCTTAGCTTACTGTGGAACCATACTCTCCCTGAATAACAACCTGAGTAACAATCTGCTAAGTTACTGTTACCTAAGCTTCTCAACAGCACCAAATTCAAGTTCAAGACAGTAGATACTGCAGCAATCCATATGTCAGAAGGTTAGCCTAACCAAGAGTGCTGTTACTTTATTTCTTCATTATTTCCAGTTTTCCATATTGTTGCTGGCTATAGTTAACAGGTATCAATTCATGGAAGAATTCAATGAAGTCACTTCCTACAGATCTTAAAAAACATGGTTTTTTTCCTGGACTGCAACAGCATGCAAAACATAGGATAGGAAAATAAGGTATGGTTGCTTTCGGCAGAAATATAGAATTTGAGATTTACTTGTTTGCATGAACATTTCTACATTTACCAGAAAACTAGACTGAAAAAAAGCATGCAAATAAGACTGACAGAATAGAGCTTTAAAACTGCTGAAGGTATAAGCTAGAATTTTAGCAGAGATGTCAGTCTGATCTTTTGTACGTTTAATATTTGGACTAAACATATTAGAAGGAAGGAGTAAGTAATGGAGACTGCATAGAAAAGTATTAATTAAGCATCTGCTTTGAGACCCACTAGACATAAACACCACAATGCTTAGACCTCCACTTTCAAACCAGGTGGAATATAATGTTGAAACATCAACATGACAGAAATATCACACTTTTACATAAAGGAACCAACCTCTTGAGTAAGGTCTACTTAACTGAAGAGGAACTCTTAATAGGCTTTTATCTAGACCACATGCAAAAAGTGTGTGACAGGTCATCTTACCTACTTCTCATACACTTCTGAGGTTTGCAAATCAGAAATTAGAAAGCAAGGTGTGTAGAAGACATAATTGGAAGTCATAAAATCATAAAACTATGCTATTTGATGCAATTATTAATAGAAAATACTATGTTCCAAAATACAATAGCCAACAAATATAGGCTTTAATAGAATAATAATAAACCAACTGGTGAAATATTTGACTCACTGATGTTAAAGCAGAAAGTTTTTACTGCTTTGTTTTGAATAGACTGATATTTTTATATCAGAAGATATATACAGACTCAGTACTAATATCAATTAATTTGGAAAAGAAATCAAAACAATCACCCTTTTTTAATAAAGCTTTAGAATTGGAAGTAACATTAATAAAACTCAAATGAGCCAAATTAAATTTGACTACATATAAAATGGCCCATATACTGGAAAACATCTTTACAATTACTACGATGTCGGCCTGCCTGTTTGCTTCATTCCTATTGCCAGACTCAAAGGAAACAAATCTCAATGCCCAATCATCCTTCTAATCACTTGGGAACCCTAGCAATAGCTTAATTATCGGGTTGAATGCTGTGATACAACCACAAGTTCACTATCAAGTAAGCTTCCAGCAGCGACCATACACACCTTGTATGCAACTCCCTTTCTACCTTATTCCAGGGATCTAGTATTTTCCAATTTACTGTCAAACTCCCTACCTAGTCACTGTTTAGCAAAGCCATATGTACTTACTTTCAAAACCTCACAAGCCATTTCCTCCAGTCTCTTTATAATCCCATTTCTTATATGAATTATTTCAAAGTATGCGGACATTTTTCAGTATCAAGATGCCAGAAACTATATACAATCTTTGAGAAGAACCAATTGCTATCAAAGATGGTAGGACTTTTCCAATAACCATTATGAAGAAGCACAGAAGGGAAAATGATCCAACAGTTTAGTTGGTCTAAAAGCAAGAACACTTTTATACTCTTCTCGTCTATATATGCATAAAAAGTCTTAGTCACTTGTTATAACTATACATCAGTGGGAGTCATCTGATCTTTCTTTCTTCAGAATAAAGTAGTACAGTACTTCTATTTTAACTAAAGAAGCTTTCTGAGGAAAATGGGCACAGTAACTTATTTCATTCTTCACAGAGTCAATCATCTAGCTTCAATTTACCTTGCACCACAATCGGGCAATACTAGCTCTGTGCTCTCAATCCAGTCTAGCACTAGGCTTTGAAATCTCAGGAGCTCAAGTCAAAAACTTAATCTAATTTCTTCTCTGTGGCTATTTTTTTCCCCAGCTATAAAGGAAATGTTACACAATGACTAGTACACAGCTGAAAACACAGCTCAAAGCTGCCATCTCTAGGTATTACTCTTCACACTAAATTATTTTTCTGGGTTTTTTTTTTCTAGAGACTGAACATCTGAAAGGAAAAATATCAAGTCTACCTTAACAAGAACTTACTGGAAAAGGATGTACTACTTCTTCTTGAAATTTCTTAAATGATCGTCCACTACATTTTGGCCCATGCAATTCTGTTATTTGACCTAAGTATATGCACATATGAATTATATGACATGAGTAGTGCGGTGTCCACTATTAGTGAATTCTAATTACTAATTAATATGTGCCTTTAACAGCAACAGCTTCTTCATTACACACTTGCTTGTAGCTTTCATTAATATTAACAAGAGTGGCATTTCCTCACTGATATCCAAAAGGACTCTGGCTTAACACAGGTCTATTGTATTTAATATCTGCTGCTAAAAGTAGCTCTAAAATGGTTACTGTATAGTCTGGAATATCTCAAGAAAATATTAGCAGTGTCAAATAAAAAGGTTAAATGATATTTTAAGCCTTTATTCTGAACTGATAAATGATACATTACTTGAATGTTTCTCAACTAAAAGGTCCACGTTCTACAAGTACTGTAATAAGCAAAGATACCGGTCAGAAAGATCTGACCTTTCAAAGAACAGATAATACATTAGTAATGAGTCAGGAAACTGACAACATGAAAGCAATTTTTGAGTTGATGTTGGGGCACGCACAGAATCTAGTTCATATTACTACTGAAAAACGCCTCTACAATATTAACCATGCCATATACAGTTTCAACATCTCTGGAAGAATAATAATAAAGGAGGACTATATAAAAGGAAGACTGATGACAAAGAGCAACTGAAAGGTACAACTAAAAGGATAAAATCTTTATTGACAATACGAAGACATTTTAAGGACATCTGCTCAGATCATATGAATGCTTCTTGTTTATAAATCCTTTCCACTACAAGTAAGTAAATAAATAAAGTTTGACTTAACAAGAGGATTATGAAGACTGCTAGAAGAAAAAATATACTTCAAAATAAAGGTTAAAAAACTCCAGCAGATTAAACCACTGAGAAATAGAAAGTCAAGCCATGAAACAGTTTAATGAGCTGCCTGCAGAATTTATAGATAAATAAGGACTACACATAATAAGTACTAATACATCATTTTTCAAATGCATTAGAAATACAGCTAACTAGATACTTTGTGGTGCCAAGAGACACCAATAGATACAACAAGGAGTATTCCGAGAAGATAAATCGGTAGCAATAAAATGAAGTTAATTTTCCTGTGAGAGTTCTTCATGGTAGACTTCAGAGGTATTTTCACAGCAGAAATCAGTAACAGAAGCTTATAGTAAAAAAACAAAACTGACAGAACAATCAGCAACAAGTCACCAGGATCAGTTCTGAAGGAACTGAAGAATAAAAAAGATGACCCTTCCCTGTAGTTTGTAAATCCCTCCTTAAAAATGTGTCAGTACCAGAAGACTGCAAAGCAACAGGCATAAAGGACAGAACTCAGTGAACGAATGGATAAGACAGGCAGACAGAGGAAAAGTCTAACAGCTTCTGAAATGGGAAGTTTTATCTTGCAAATCACTGGATTTTCTTGAAGGAATCAAAGGTCTGGTTGAGAAAGTTACCTGGAATTCCCAAAAGATGCTTGGTAACATTCTTCATGCCTTAAAGAAACTAAGAGGCTCTGGGAAAAGCAAGGCAGATAACACAAGGCTAAAAATAACTCAATAAATAAAGGTTTTGGGGAAAAATGGTTACTTCTTAAATGCATAGAGGTCATTAACGGTGTCCCACAGAGACCTACATTTAGTATTTGTTTGTTCAACATACTGACAAGCCATCTGGCACAGGAATGAATGGAAAAATGACAATGTTTTTTGACAATACTGTGTTACTCAAGATAGCTGAGATAATGCTCAAAAGCAAAGAATTAATTGCAGGAGAATCTCATAACACTGAATGTGCAATATGAAGACGAATAAAAGCATAAATAAGTGTTCACATATATAAGTATGAAGTGAAGCATACGCATAAAAACATGATACAGTGGTTTTTAATTGACTAGAATGAGATCTTGAGATTAACTGATACCTCTGTGAAAATACCATTTCAAAGCCAACAGTAGATTTTCAAAAAGCTAAAATACCATTCAGAATTAGTACGAAAAAATTAGACCTCTGATGTACCGATACACTAAAGACTTTGATTCCCTGTATTTCAGAAGGGATATTACAGAACTAGAAGAGGTAAAGGCAATAATGCAATGTTATCCAAGGTATGTAGCTTCTTTCTAGAAGATTATTAAAAATACAAGGAATTCTCAGTATGAAAAGGATATGATGGACTCACAGAAACTCATGAGTGGTTCTGGGAACGTAAATGGAAAATAAGTGGCAGGGATTATCAAAATTAAACCAGATAGTACCAGTTTCCCAAAAGGGCGTATTTCTTTACAAAATACACTGGAATTTTTTAGGCACAAGATAGTATCAATGCTAAAATAAATAGATGGTCCAAAAATTCAAGAACACCATACATATGGATTTGTAATCTTTCCACAAAAATACTATCCTATATCAGGAAATCCCAGGTGCAGACTAGGACAGTATTCTGAGGAAGCTTCTAAATACTCTAGTAATTCTTT